CTCTCTCTCTCTCTCTCTCTCTCTCTATCCCCGTCACTCCTGGTTTCACTTCCTGTTGATGCCATCACCTCCTCTTTGGATTCAGTTCGGTCGGTCCCTCCTCACATACTTTGGTTTTTACTATGTTATTGTTTATTTTTGTTTTGACTTTATTCTACCTCTCTTTAATTTTATTGCATTTATTTACATTTGTTTAGCATGAATGTACCAATTCAGCTAAATTGATTTTTATAAAATTTGAGATTTAATTAAATCAATTTGTTTATTTACTTACCCTTTTAGTTTCCTGCAGCTGTTATGACCCCTTTTTTGTTTTGTTTGTTTTGTTTTACTTTTACCTTATTTTAGTTATTTTACCATCACCATCTTCGCTTTTTGTATAGGATTACAGTAGTTCTAGCAACTGTTGTATCCCTGCTAGCTGAGTTCAGCATCACCCACAAGTGACACCTGCTTAGCCATATCTCTTAGCAAAAAAAACTAAATGGGTAAAATCTTCCTTCTTCATTTTCTTTTTTTATTTCATCTTATTTTATTTCAGTTTTGTTATAGTGACCAAACCCGTGAACCATCAGTGCTCTGAGTAATAGTTTGACCACATGTATAGCCCGGTCATCAGCTGACCCCTGCTTACAGCCCCCTCAACAAAGTTACTCAAACTCTCTCTTTGTGTTCACAAACACAAAAACATAGCACCCTACCTCACTAGCTGCCTCTCACCAGCTATTCATACCTTACATGGCCTACACAGCCGTTCCCCATAGAGATAGCTTAACACCTCTGTACATACTTGCATTTGTCTTGTCCCTTTCTCTCTCTGGTGTTCCCACAAGTGTGCCAGTATGTCGCAGACATTCCACAGACATCCAGCCCTGCCAGCTCACCAGGACCACCTGGAAACTTAGCAGAGCCCTGTAATGGACATCCTTCAGCTCAAAGCTGCCAACGACCTGCAGTGGCAAAGAAAGGAACAGTGAGACTGCGACACAAGTGAACACCTGACACCCAGCCTGAACCACCAGGACCTGACCAGCATCATCCTCTCCTCACCCTCAAGGGCCTCAGACAGGAGGTAAATGAGCTGAAACTGCAAGTCACAGAATTCTACAGAGAACCGACACCTGCTCAACGAGA